AACAAAACAGCGAGAACTTATTCAAGGTCCTAATAATAGTATCAATACTCTGAATGTGAGTCGCGGTAATCGAAATGATGAATCAAAAAATAATGATATGCAGTACGTATTCGCAGTTACATTGGTTCTAACCATATAAGTTGATGTATGCTTTCTGTTGGAAAGTAAAGTTATCGTACGTCGATGGGTTCACTGCGCATGCGTGTGCAAAACCTAGTATTAAGGCGCAGAGCGCACTATACCTGTGTTACTGAAAAATTTTAGTTAGTTGATCCGTGACCGTTGCTTACGATACGTGTGCAGCAAGAAGCTTCTTTTGTTAACGCGAAACTAATAAATATACTAAGAGTCATCTTTCTCTTCAACCCTGTCGTTCCTCTTTCCTTTCGATAATCATAACAGGTTATGGGCCCAGGCAAGCAGCCTGCGTAACACCCGATTATCGAAGTCAGAGAGCGATAGAGAGAAAACGGTTATCTCGATTTTTTTTTTTTTCTTTCTTTCTTTTATGGTCGACACGTGGTCGCCATTGTAGTGTACCGGTAAACGCGTATGGGAGAATAATCGAACGAAAATGTCGGAATCAACTCTGTTAAAAACATTAAGAAGTTTGATGGCTCGAATTTTCAAGCGTGGAAATTTCGAATGAACTCGATGCTTGTCGCGAACGCGATTCAAGACGTCGTAACGGGCTCGCGAGTGATGCCAGAAGACGCAGACTCTGCTGAAGGCAAAAAGTGGGTGAAAGACAATGCGACGGCCATGTGCATAGTTTCCTCGTCGATAGAGGATTCTCAGCTCGATCCCATGCTCAACTGCACCACAGCGAAGCAAATGTGGGACAAGTTGGTGAGAATTCACGAGCAGAAATCAGTGTCGAACAAGATGCTCCTGCTACAAAAGTTCCACGGATATTCCATGGAATCAAAAGAGTCGGTTGTACAACACGTGTCCCGGGTACAAAACATAGCGTCTCAACTGAAGGATCTGGGAGAAGTGATTTCGGACACAGCCATAATGGCGAAGATTCTTGGAAGTCTACCGATTAAGTACAACGCTCTTCAGACAGCGTGGGACAGTGTACCTGAAGAAGGTCAAACCCTTGATAATCTATTAGAACGGTTATTGAAGGAAGAAAGAAGACTCGAAGGTGACGATGACGTCACTCGAGCGTTAGTCGCTGTTAGTCTCGGCGGAAACAAAAAGAAAAAGTTCGCCGTGAAACAAAGCAATAACAAGGAGGAAAACCGCGAAAGTAGAAATACGAGTGTCGAGTGTTTTTATTGTAAAAAGAAAGGACATTTTGCTCGCGATTGCCGGAAAAAGAAAAGGGACAAAGACAGTGCCGGCGAAGAACCCCGTGAGTGTGCGTTTGTCGCCACGACAAGTGAACAAAAACAGCGACAAGTAAAATCGGAAACAGTGCCAAACAGTGAGGTCGTAGAACGACTCATGACAGCCGACATAAGCGAAGTCTGGATTACCGACAGCGGTGCGTCCAGGCATATCACTTACCGACGGGACTGGTACAGTGAGTTCGAACCAAGCAGTGGCGAGTCGGTATCACTCGGGGACAATGGCGTGTGTGAAGTCACCGGTAGGGGCACTGTGCTCATCGATAGACTAGTAAACGGTAAATGGTGTGAAGCTCGAATCGAAAACGTGCTCTACGTTCCGAAGATTCGAAAGAACCTGTTTTCAGTTGGCGTATGCACTGAAAAAGGTTTCGATGTTTTGTTCAAAGGAAAACAAGTGACAATCAACCACAACGGTGAAGTCTTTGGAGTCGGTCTGCAACATGTCAATCAGATATACCGAATGCTCTTTAAAGTGAGAAAACCAAGTGTTGTGAAAGAAGCAAATGTGTCAACTGTCAACTTGCGTGTCTGGCACGAGCGAATGGGACACGTAAACAATAAAGTGCTGCGCGAAATGACGCAAAAGGGGCTAATTCGCGGTGTGAAATTAGCGGACACTGACAATTTCTTCTGTGAATCTTGTGCCTTTGGAAAAGCACATAAACTTCCATTCAAGAAAAACGAGACAAAAAGAAACAACAAAACCGGGAGAATACATACATTCGGATGTATGCGGACCATTCTCAACAAAGTCGATCGGTGGTGCCAGATTCTGCATAATCTTCAAGGACGACGCATCAGGATTTCGGATGTTTACTTCATGAAACACAAAATCCTGATGTCGTTCGACTATTTTCAAGAAATACGAGAAGTTGATCAACAACAATTTTGGCAAACCAATGAAGGTGTTACGTACGGACAATGGTCGAGAGTATTGCAACCATGAAATGAAGCGATATCTCGAGGCTCGTGGTATCGAGCTGGTAAACACGGCACCTTACACTCCTCAGCAGAATGGGAAAGCCGAGCGCGACAACAGAACGATCATCGAGAGTGCGCGCACGATGATAATGGCAAAGAAACTTCCTCCATCACTATGGGCGGAAGCAGTCGGTACAGCAGTGACCGTGCTCAACCGAGTTCTGCCTACCGGGAAAGAGAAAACGCCATACGAGATCTGGTTTGGAAAAACACCAGATGTCTCTCATTTTCGAGTGTTCGGATCGGACGCGTATATGCATATAGATAAACAATTTCGCAAGAAGTTAGATCCGAAGGCCATAAAGTTAATCCTAGTTGGATATCAGAATGACTCGATGAATTACTGTTTGTACAATCCACAGAATAAGAAAATATCTATATCAAGAGACGTTACATTCAACGAGAAGTCACAACTTGGGGCAGAAAAGGGTGAAGAATTCCAATACATCCTCCCAGCGGACGAAAACAAAGATGTAGCAGAACCCGTCGAGCTGCAACCGGAGGAAGATCAGGAAGATCAGGAAGATCAGGAAGAACCTGAAAGAAACAAACAACCAGAAGATCCTCTAGAAAAGGGTCAAAATCAATCAGACAGTGTCAGACAATTGCGGGACCGAACAAACATCCGACGACCCGTAAGGTACGAAATCGACTTTGCTGAATATAATCCACCAAACACATTTCAGGAAGCAATGAACAGCGCCGAGGCAGAAAAATGGGCCGAGGCAATTCAGGAAGAGTTTGACGCGCACGAGAAGAACGAGACTTGGTCCATCGTACCAAGGATAAAGGATCGAAAGGCCATAGATTCGAAATGGGTGTTCAAGGTCATACGAGACACGTCAGGCGACGTATACCGGTACAAAGCGAGACTCTGTGCACGAGGATTCCAACAAAAGGAGGGACTCGACTACACGGAGACCTTTTCGCCAGTCGTGAGATACGATTCGTTGAGAGTTTTATTGGCCATAGTGACTGAACAGGACTTGGAACTCTCACAATTCGATGTGAGAACAGCCTTTCTTCACGGCGAGCTGAAGGAAGAGATCTATATGGAAATACCGGAGGGACTCAACATCAAGAGAGAAGAAAAATGCGGTTCAGTGTGTAAACTGAACAAGTCATTGTACGGCTTGAAACAAGCACCCAGGTGCTGGAACGAAAAGTTTCGCGAGTTCTTAGAGAAATATCAGTTTCACGAAACGGAAGCCGACAAGTGTATCCTTCGAGGACGAGTAGACGGTGTAAATGTATTTTTGGCACTTTTTGTAGATGACGGACTCATCGCAGCAAAAACAAGTAAAGCCCTCGAGTCTGTAATAAAATCGTTAAGTAATGCGTTCGAAATTACAATCGGGGATGGAAACTTATTTGTCGGAGTACAAATAGAAAGAAATCGAGTAAAGAAAACCATGTTCTTGCATCAAGAAGCGTATGTCAAGAAAATTCTTAACAAATTTAAAATGATTGATGCAAAAGCGGCAAGTGTTCCTGCCGATCCGCACGCGCGACTAGTTCCAAAAGATCGCGACGATGAAAACCCAAGTAAAATACCGTTTCGAGAGGCAGTGGGTTCGTTAATGTTTCTTGCGGTTGTAACGCGACCGGATATCGCATATTCGGTGAATTCGGTCAGTAAATTTCTTAGTAACCACAATGAGAGTCACTGGCAAGCAGTGAAACGAATCTACCGGTATTTGATTGGAACAGCGAAAGTCGGGATAATGTACAAAAGCGGCGGGAGTAACTCGGAGTTACACGGGTTTTCAGACTCGGATTTCGCAAGTGACGTGGAGACACGTAGATCTACCACGGGGTATGCGTTTTGTCTATCGAACGGGATCGTAACGTGGTCGTCCCAACGACAAAAACTAATCACACTCAGCACAACGGAAGCCGAGTACGTCGCGGCAGCAGCGGCTGCAAAAGAGGCCGTTTGGCTGAGGAAATTGCTAAACGATCTCGGGTATGTACAGGTAACTGCGACAGTTCTGCGACTAGACAATCAAAGTGCAATCCGATTAATAAAAAAATCCTGAGTTCCATAAGCGAACTAAACATATAGACATTAAGCATCACTATGTTCGCGAAACTGTGGAGAGAAGGAAAATATCAGTAGAATATGTTCCTACAGATCAGCAGCTAGCTGACATGTTTACAAAAGCACTACCAAAGACACAGTTTCAGCTTCTATGTAACGGCTTAGGCATAGGATTCTCGACGCACTCTAACGGCGGGAGTGTTGGAAAGTAAAGTTATCGTACGTCGATGGGTTCACTGCGCATGCGTGTGCAAAACCTAGTATTAAGGCGCAGAGCGCACTATACCTGTGTTACTGAAAAATTTTAGTTAGTTGATCCGTGACCGTTGCTTACGATACGTGTGCAGCAAGAAGCTTCTTTTGTTAACGCGAAACTAATAAATATACTAAGAGTCATCTTTCTCTTCAACCCTGTCGTTCCTCTTTCCTTTCGATAATCATAACACTTTCACAAAACAAAATTGTGTTATTTAAAATTATGCTTTCAGACGTTTACTGCAGACTGATGATGTAAGGACCAGCCTCATGTAAGTTAAATTCTTTTTCGTAGGAAATTTTTCCTATCAATAATAATATATATTGTATTAGAAAAATAATTGTAAATGTCTAATGTACACGTTAAATTTGCATACACGCCTACAATATGTCTCCGCTCTAACTTCGTTCTTAACGTTTTGAAAAATCGATACAGAGAGAGTATATATTTCGGTATATAGATAAATAAGTGGTACAATTTTAATTTCAGGCGCCTTTGCGAAACAGTTAGCAAGTTACCCACAAAAGAAGATTACGAGTAAGTGCAGAATTTTTCAAAAATCAATTTTTGAAAAAAATATGGAAAAAACTGGAATTGCAGTTAAAAGCTGTGAAAAGAATCAATATTTTTGAAAGTTAGGAGATAATTAATAAGAAGAAACTTTGAAAGCATTTTTTTTCTTTCACATTACAGTTGTTTCGAAAGTAACTGTCGAAAGCATTTTCAAAATTAGTTTATTGAATTTAATTTTATAGTATATGTATAGTACTAAAAAACCCTATCTTTAAGCATGTAATTTTTTTACTATAATTTATTTTTGTTTCAATGTTCATCCATACATATATGTTTGGATATATTCTCAACGAGATACTACCGTATCTTTTGATATTTACATATTTACAGACTTTTATCCAGGTAATTGATAATTTACAAGTGGAATTGCCCTATTTTTTTGTTTATTTTACAGTAAAAGTGTTTTTTTTTAAATTGTAATATTTGTAAGAAAAAATTCAGAAACTTTTTGGCCAAATTTTCAATTATTTTTTTGTTGAGAACTGGCTTCTATTAAATATGTGTATCTAAATAAACTGATAAAAATATATGTACATGCAAAGTTTTTTGTTTACATTAATAAACTTTTTGATAACATAAAAAACTTTTCGATAAGATTTGATAAGTATGTAAAAAAATTGAACTTCTTGTTTCTTTTTAGAGTGATAAACCGTAAGTTGGACAGGTTGCTGCGAAAGCGAGTGAACATTATGCCTCCAAAGCCGTGTTCATTTCCACTTCGATCAATACAAGATGTAATCGATTTTAATAACATCTCGGAAGAGGAATACGAGATTGCTGTAAGTTTTTTAATTTTGAAGAAATAAGAATGTTAGGATAGAAAAACGGTAAAACAAAAATAAGACATTTTACTCATTTTTGACACTGTCCATATAACATACAATTTTGTCTTTACGTGTTTGAATCACAATTTAAAATTGAGTATTAATATTCATTACTTGCAAAATGATCTTTAATATATTGTACGTTCTCTTTAGTTTGTTGGTTTTGTAGTTGAATACATGAAATTATAGTCTTTATACCCATACTGTAAAAATATCTATATAAAAGATTGACAATAATGTTAATATGAGGATTGGCAGTAATAAATATTATTAAAAGAATATTGTAAGAATTATAAATTGATGTTATTCTTTTTACAGGTCGAATATTTGAAATTCTTAGGAGGTTTCAGTGTATATGATGCCGTGAGATTTTGCATGAAGGAAGCAATATCGGACGAAACCATTCAACTTTATTCTGTATGGGGAGAGCGTGGGAATCTTCCATTATTCGATACCAGATTGATTAAAGTAATATATGGTAAGTTATAATTTCAATTTTAAAAATTTGCTACATATATTTTCTAAAACAATGTGAAACAATGTGCAAATTCACAAATGATATTAATTTATAAATTTATCAATTTATGGATTTAAATTGCTCCAAATGAATTGTGATTTTAACGAACTGGGCCTCCACGTACATATTTTTAAATATTGTTAGTTATACCATCATTATAATTACAATTAATTTGAAGCAGTTTAAAAATAAATTTTGAAATTAAATAGTTATAATAAATTATTTGATCTTTCCATAAAATGTGGACTTAATGAATATATTGTGTGTGTGTGTGTGTAATCTTTAATTTCAGATGCAGTGGCGTTAAACCCAAACTTTGCTGCCCCAACACAAGAATATATTTTTTCGAGAAGTAGGAGAAGCGGTGAGAACGAGCAAGTCGCGGCTCCGAATTGCAACTACGAGACGCGGGAACGCATCACAAATGGGGCATCGTAAAAAGCAACGAGCGAAGGCACAACAAAAATCTGCTTCGAAATCAGAATAAAGAACTCGCTGCACAGAAAGATGTGAATGACGATGAAAACAACGATGAGATTGACAATGAAAATGACGATAAGAATGGCGATGAAAATGATGAGAATGACAATCAAAATGATGATGAGTACGCAACTATTGACGAAGAAAATTAAATTAAAAAAAAGAAAAAATGGGCACCGAATATGTACTGTCGCGTATTTTAAAGTATTATTATATATTTAATTATATACAAAGATTAAACAATAAAATGTGATACTTTTGTCATTTATATATATACATATATGTAATGGTGTCTAATATAACTTTTTACTGAACCTAATCTTTTTTATAATATTCAAACTTATGGAAAAATAGTATATTTAGGACCATATAATTTAATATTAACCAATGTAGTACCTGTAAGTTAGTATCTACAAGTACTAAAATGGCTAATACTAAATTATATAGTCTTATGCTACTTTTCCGTATAAAAAAATTTTCTGCAGCAATAAAAACCTGTTACGAAGCTTTATGTTGTTATCATGTTTATGTATGTACATCATCCATATTTAATCATAAATTACCGTCATATTGCTGTTCACTTGCTGTTCGTTATGGACGACAGTTGATGATAACAAAATGCTCTCATGTTGCAATCAAGTTGCTGTGAAATCGCAAATGGCAACTTAATGGCAACAAGTTGCTATCATGTTACTCAGAAATTAAATCATCAGGGACAGCAAACCAATGTCAACAAGTTGCCGTCTACTTGCTATTGTTTCCTGTTGAAAAATGTGAGCACAACGTAACTTACATATTGCGGAAACACATAACACCGATGTTTTTGAAAGCAGTTCCTTCAACGGTTGTCAGCAACATGACGGCAATTTTACAAGCATTTAGTTATCTGGGTATCTACACATTATATTTGCAAGGTAATAATTTGAGAGAACATAATAATATAAATATAAACGTTATTCTTTCAATGTTAATTTTTCTTATATAAATTTTTTTGAAGTTTTATGATTTTATGCAAAATGAGAATTTATTTGTACATTGAGTAATAGAAAGAATGCTAAAAAAGTTTTTAAATTCCAAGACATAATAAACATATTTAATCATAGACAGAATAAATAAATCAAAAATAAAAACAGTTGTTAAAAATAAACTATTTTATATTTGCATACATTTTAAGAGAAAAAGTGTTTATTTAGTAATACTCACCTTTCACAAGCAAATTTATTGCCATGTTGGTTTACACACTTTAGCCATGCTCTAGCAGATGCATCTGCAATTATGTTCCTGATTTTTACTTTGTAAGATCAATCCTCAATAATGAAACCGTTTATTATTTCCAAAGTTTCATTGATAAAGTCTTCCAAGTAAGTGTCTAGGTTTGGTGGACATTTCGTTTCTCCACACCATATAGCTATAATAAGAACTTCATTTTTGCCCGCTATGCAGCCAGCAATTGACCACAAAAATCGCCGTATACTATTATAGGACGAGAAACCATAAAAAAAAAACACGTCAATTTCAATGATATCGATTATTGTTTCCAAAATCTCGTTGAACAGTACAGTTTTAAGACCAGAGACAATACCATAATACCAAAATTGTCCACCGCCTTCCAATTTTCTAATTAATGATATTGTATTTCTTGGAATTTTCAAGAGTATCTGTGCACACATAGGAAGCAATTTGTGATTATATTTCCTTAAAATTTTCAACAGATGAGACAGTGCATTAAGTGTTACATTTCTTTTAACAGCCCACACTCCAAGATCTTGAATTAGTTTCAAATCAGAATTTGTAGATTCACCAATAATTTCATTAACATTAACTTTTCTCTCGTATAATGTATTATTAGTAGAAACAGTATTACTAGTATTAATAGTGCGTTATCAAAGAAAAAGTTATTTTGATTTTGTGACTCTTGGCACCCAAAGCTGCTTGGAAGTTCTCTACTATTAATAGTAGCAATAATCGAAACATCATCTATTTCATATGTGCTTCTTTTTTTACCCCTATGTGCAAAACATACTTGTAATGCATCTGTGCTTTCTATGTGAGAAGACTGTGTTTCTTCGATATTTTCTTGTGTGATGAATTGATCACAATTGCTTCCGTGATCACCTGCAGAAATAAGATTTATATTAATACTAACATCAGTTTATGCCACTTTAATGTTGTATTTGTGATATTATATAATCATTATAATATAATCATATATCACATATAAACATTATATAATATTAGATATTATAATTTGAAAACTAAATTACACAACAAACACACACGCGCGCGCGCGCACACACACACACACAGTTTTATTACAATAAAGTAATTTATTTTTTTAATTTTATCTAATATGTTTATATTATATCATAAATGCAGATTTAAAGTGGCATAAAATGGTGTTTAGTATTAACAAATGTTTTTCAAATATTAACACATTGAATGCCGGGCCATTTTCACGTAACTTTTCGCTCAGGCCGTGTGGGTCATGAATGGCCCACGTTATTGCATTCTTTGTAAACGTTTATAAAACATAAGTTATTATATTTATAAAGCTAAAAAAGTAATTAGTGAAAAGAGGAAGAGTTAATATGTAATATGCGCCATAAAAACAAAATATATAAATTATTTGTATAATACTATCATATATGAAAGGTAACTTATTAAATTTTTAACAATGTATGGAACAAAAATCATTAAAATGTTTATATCATATCATTACCATATTCACTGTTGCTTATTGAATCATTATGAATTGTAATATCTATATTAGAGTCTTTATGCACATATTGTTGCTCTTCGTTACAATGCTTTTTGTTGAAATCGTGATAAGCACTCTTCTCAGCAATATGTTGAAAATATTCTTCCTGTGCTAAGATCTTAAGATTCTTATTAGATTTTCTCTTCAGCCTCTTCCATTCTATATTCCGTAATCTCTACAAATTGCAACAAATATTAACATTGTGCATTAAATATTTTCAACAGAAAATATACACAAATGCTTTAACATAAAGAACATATAGTGAGCAGAATTGTAAACATACCTGTTTAGACATTGTAGTAAAAAGATTTAAGAAATATTGAGTTAATGTACACTCAAATAAAACTCTGGAAAATTATGTAATATCTTCAACGTCTTCTTAGGATACTTAGCTTTTTTATAGTAAAAAATAAATAAATAATTTGCATCTATTTAAATCATTATTCAACGAAAATGCATCACTGCATTATTTTGCAATGTCTTTGCACTACAATATCTTACTTCAACGCATTTTGTCATTACTGTCGACAACAATATGCTGTGCATGTATAAATAACACTACTGACGTGAGTTGTGAAACGGCGAGTTGAGTTAAAACATTAGACTTGAATTTATTATATACAGGGTGTCCAAAAAGTATAGAACCGGTAAAATGTCTCGAAAATAAGACATTTGAGAAGAAAATGTTTTATACTAAAGTTATACAGCTTCAAGAAATATATCAAATAATGCTACCCATTTGACCTTCAGAGCAGATATGAAGAAGATATCAAGGTTAACTTTAAAATTTTAAGTGGAAACCCCCATTTTTTATTCAATATTCTAGTAGCTTATCTCGAGAGCTTTTCAAAATACTAATAAAATATTTTTTCATTGAATAGTTTTTGAATTATAAGGCTTAAAAGTTATGGTAGAGTGAGAGAGAAAGAGAATGAAGCAACGCACTCAACGCGTATTTCGAAAAAGATGGTGCAGTCCCATGGCAATGAGAAAAAACACTAAGCAATGAATTTTAAGTTTTTAAATAATATGTTTTAATAAGTTTTTTAATAACTTTTTCAAAGATAAATTTAAAGAATTATAAGTTATATAATAGAAAGACCTAAATTTAGATGACTAGAATTAAAATTAAATTTAACAACAATTTAAATTAAATTCTAGGCTTTTATTATTGTTTTAATATTTTCTTATAGTTTTATATATAAACAAAAACTCAAATTATAATCTAAATCACTGTAAAGTTTGAATCACAAAAACTAGTGACAATCATTTGAACATAAATGAAATACATATTTAATAATATACATACATATGTAATACATGATACATATGTAATAACATATTAACTTTAAAGAAAATTAAACTTTGTTTCTCTTTACTCTGTTTCTTCTGATTGTGCTTTTATAACTATTTGAAGAAATTTTATTTCCATCATGACTCTTTTTATATGACAATCGATGCAAACTTTCTTCTATAATTTTTATAAATTTTGGAAATTAGAAATTTGTATTTTAATAAAATAAATTTATATTATTTATTCATTCTTTTAATATTAATATCTATTTTATGCAAAAAAGTAATATAACGAAGATAAATACGCTTTTACGTAAAAAACACGGAATTTGGAAAATTAGAAATTAATATTTTAATTATAATAATACATTTGTATCATTTCTTTTTAATTACAAAAATAAAGAATTTATAAGTTATAAAATAAATTTTTTCTTCTCGCATTACATATTTTTTAGATTGATATAACATAAAGATTTCTATTTGTTTTCCTTAAGAAAAACAGAAGTTATTTTTATCTAACAAATATAATAGAATGGCATCAAGAGCCGTAGCAGGATGTTAGTGCTAAATTTTTAATTTTTTTTCATAAGAATTTTTAATAAATTATTCTACAAGAGACAGTTAGATTGTACACCGATCTCAAATCAAGATAACTAATGTGTACGAAATTATAAGTATATTATTCTCATATATCGAGAAACTTGTAACGGTGCGAATTTATCTCGCGATCTTATTGCTAAGCGCGGAATAGCTCGCCGGTGCCAGGATTCGGGATAAGCGGTCAGACAGGGAGACTCCAATCAAATAGACCAATTAAGGGTAACAAAACTATATTCTTAAACAAAAGAGTAATAATACATTTGTAAAGCAATTATGGAGGGCAAGCGGTAGCCATCAAACAAGCGAGTGCGCATAATAAGCGGTGTATAAGCGAGAGCGCAAGGTGAGCGTACAAAAGCGGGGGAGCGCAAGATCGAATTTAGCCGCTATGCCCCAGAACAAGAAACGATCGCGAGCGGGAGCAACTAAAAGGTCGGAATACGCCGCGGAAAAATACTAACTAAAGAATACAAACCAAAGAATACAAACTAAAGAATACAAACTAAAGAATACGTAAATCTACGGAGGAACGATAGACGGATGCCGAGTGCTCCCGGCGGAGACAGAGTGCTTCCTGTCCCGAGAGGAACGGTAAAT